AACTTTTTATCCTTTTTAACACTCTTTTTTAATAGTTCAGAGCGTGGTGTAGAGAGTGCAGTGCTGTAGGCCTCATTAATACTTTCAGGAGAGTAGGAGTTAGGATCAGTCTCCTCCTGGTAAAGAGAGGTGAGAAGTTTTCCTTCTTCTAAAATGACCCACATATCGAGGAAATGCACACGTTTAGAGTCAGACTGCTGAAAACTTTAAATCTGGGCTCATGGCAGAGATGGGACCAAGTCACACATGTGCAAGTCTCAAGTAAGTCTCAAGTCTTAACCTTCAAGTCTCAAGTAAGTCCCAAGTCATTTTTTCTTGGGCAAGTCAAGTCAAGTCACAGGTTATGTCAAGTCAAGTCCTGTAATAGGTCAAGTCAAGTCCAAGTCAAGTCACCTTATTATTGTGATTTTACCTGTAGAATCTGATCTTAATAAAGTGAAAAGACAAGATATAAGTAACTGTCAGTAAACACTGACTTCATCGCTGCAATGTTTACTTTGCAGGGATGACCCCCATGCATGCGCGCGCGCGCACACACACACACACACACACTAACCAAGGCAGCGGCCAAAATCACCCATTTAGCTCATTTAACCCTGTGTTGCTCGTTCATAAAACGTACAGTCGGTCTTGTGATGAACCGGTCGGAATGTTCACTCACGTTTTCTGGGGTTAATGTTAGCAAATAAATTAAAAAACAAGTTCCACCAAACCGATCCACCCCCCCACCCCACCCCAGTATCGTATCAAGCTAACGTTAGCTAACTACCAACTAACCAGATAATATTAGCTAATTGACAAGCACTTACTGGGCAGAATGGCTCTTCAAATGACGAACAAAGTTTGAAGTCAAGTCAAGTCAAGTCCCGAGTCTTTAGCTTCCAAGTCCGAGTCAAGTCTCAAGTATTTTATTTTTTGTCAAGTCAAGTCACAAGTCATCAAAACAGCGACTCGAGTCGACTCGAGTCCAAGTCACAATGACTCGAGTCCCCATCTCTGGCTCATGGTATTGAGATAAGTGGAAAAATCTCTAAACTCTGTTTGAGACCCTTTAAAGATGCATAGAATATCATCAAAGTACCTGAAATATTTTATGATATTGTGATAGAAAGGATTTCTGTTCTCATTAAAGATAAACAGTTGCTCAACATAACCAACATAAAGATTGGCATAACTAGGAGCAAAATTGCTCCCCATACTTGTACCTTTGACTTGCAAGAAAAACTCTCCCTGGTGGAAAGAAAAGGAATTAAGTTTGAGAATGAGTGATGCTAAATCACAAATGAAAGCACTTGGAGGGCAAGAATTTTCATGTTGGTCTTGTAAATAATATTCAAGTGCTACAATACCCCTCTCATGAGAAATGTTTGTATATAAACTTTCCACATCAAAAGTAGCTAAAATAGTATCAGGAGGGAGTTCTTGTTCAGAGATTTTGTTTATCACATCAGTAGAGTCTCTCACAAAGGCAGGAAGCTTTTGAACATATGGTTTAATGTAGTGATCAACAAAATTGGATAACGGTTCCAATAATGACTCATTACTAGCCACTATAGGTCTACCCTTGGGGTTAGTCATACATTTATGAATTTTTGGGAGCACGTAAAAGACAGGGGTCACGGGGTGTTTTCTATTCAAATACTCAAATTCATGTTTAGTTATCCAGTTTTGTTCTAGGGCTTGAGTAGTGAGATCACTGATAATCTTTTGGAAGTCAGCAGTGGGATTATTCTTTAATTTTCTATAGAATTGGTCATCGTTCAACTGGTGATATGCCTCTGCTATATAGTCAGTGCTGCTGAGAATGACTATGGCTCCGCCCTTATCCGCAGGTTTTATAACAATATCAGTATCACATGCAAGCTCTTTAATAGCATTTCTTTCTTCCAGGCTAAGGTTACTTCGAGTGCGGTGATTTGCTCCTTGTTTTTACAACATAGGCCTAGATAAAAGTTTTTAAAATGTGAGTGCATGCAAATACACACAGGGGTCAAAGTCTTCAAACATGTGCATTGCATCAATGCATGTGTGTTTAAAAGGAGATATACAGTATAAATATGTACTCTTTAACTGGTCACTTATCACCAACCATAGGTGCCGTTAAGGGCACTCATGTTGCTGTACTTTTACAATGCTCATGTTTCTACAAAGTCCTATGGTGATGTTTGGTCATTGCAGAAACTTCCTACAATGCATGCAACAGGTAGTCTGTGATAAACATGGTGCTTTCAATGTAAAATGGCATCTCTTTTGTTGCATCTTTTCTTGTGCTTTCTGTTGCTTTTATTCTCTGTGACAGTGACGACCCCTTTGCTGTTTGTTATTTCCCACATTGTACTCTTTTTGTGTCGCTCCTCTCCCCCTGCTCTGTGTGTCTGTCCCTGCCTCTCAGGGGAAATCTACTCTATGTGTTCGCATGTGTTTGTACAGAAAAAATGGGTGGTGAAGCCTGCTACTTTTATCTGAACTCATTCTGTCTTTTCCCTGTTGTGTGTGTGTACAGTTTGCACTGCATGTGTGTACTTTCACATGCTCACAAATGCTCACTGGCCAGCAGAGCGTGGTGAAGGGCACGTTGAAGGGTACAGGCAGGGAAATGAAAAGTTTTCTACCGAGGTGGTGTAAGTGTACATAACGTGCGGTCTCCTCCGTGGCTCTGAGCCCGAGGCACTGTAGAGTGAGGAATAATAGTGGTGGCTAACCAGGGTCTAAAACTAATGAGGATGGGATGAAACACATCCTGTCTACCCTGAACTGGCACAAACAAAGACAGATGACTGCATCGACTCACGCTGCCTCACATCTTCTGTTAAATGTTGCACCTGAACTCATATCAAAGACCACATCTGACCGCTGACATGCCTGAACATTTTGCACAGACTAATTATAGTCTCTGTTCCTGGTCCAGAAAAACATCACAGAAAAACTAACAAAAACAAACATTTTCATGCCAACGTTAATTTCATTAAACTGTTATATTCTCAGAATACAAATTAAGAGTCTGTATGATAAAATCTGAAACTGCTCAGATTTGCTTTATTTTACTTTGCACTCGTGTGGTCAGCCAAACGTCTTTTGCTTGTGAAAGAAAATAAGAAAAGATGGAGGTGATAAATAAGAAATAACCAAACTAACAGGATTCACTTAACTGAAAAGCCACTCAGACAGCACCCTCTCACCAAATCAATGCACTTTGCAAGACACACTTTAAACACAAAGGTGCTTGCCTGTTGTTTTGGTGTATCAGGTCTACAGCTGTTTATTCATAGATTCTGCTTATGTGCAGTCTTATAATTTAAAATCTTGTGAAAAACATAATTTTTATGGTGATGTATGGAGTGTCCATTTCTGTTTTCAATGCAATGTATGCTTTGTGATTTTTAAGTCTTTAACTGATTGATTTAACAGCTCAAGGATTAACTTTACATCTCTAATGTGTGTGTCGTGATTAGTGTATGAAGCTTTAATACAGGCACTACATTGAGCAGTGGTACATTTGGTAGTCCTCATTCAGAGGCTCCAAAGTCCTCATTAGGCCAATGGACTCCTCTAAAAACTTGGTATTTCACCCGGGGCCAGTGCCTTACATCCTGCATTTCACGAGTGTTTGTGTCTGATGTGCATTCTAGTCGGCTCACACTGGGTTGTCTCTTAACTTTTTGGATAAAGTAGCAAAACCATAACCTCAAAAGTTGCTTATTTACCTTATCTTTTCCTTAACGCCAAGATTAAACCCACAGAAGATCTCATGCCTAGCTTGGTTTCCATATATACAGGTGTGAGACAAATAAACATGATAGAAAACCATGAACAATATATTCTGTATGCCTTCAAAATTCAGTCTAGTTCGCCTAATTCTCCAAATTTTAGAAATGAAACCAGCCCATACTTTACTACTTTGTCCAACTTTCCATTTTCATCAAACCAAAACAGTTCAGAACCTGTTCTTACATGCAGGTCACATGAAGCACATTAAGTGTGAACACACACTCAGAACACTGGTTTAGATGGACACATAGATTGCCCAGTCGTGCACTGCATGTCCTGTAAAAATACTCATCCAGATAGAATACCAAGTTTAAGGGGAGTATGTGGGCAATTTCTCTAAAGGATTTAAGGACCAGGCTCTTGAGATAACCCAGTCCCTGACTCAACACAGTAGGGTGTCCAATACTATAGGGTCTCTCTGCTGTATTTCACCACTAGGGGGCAAAGTTACATGTTTTAAGTTACATTACAATACATAATGTGCTGCTTAGTTGCTATATTAAACCAAAGACACACTGTGCTTAATGAAGCAGAGATAAAATTGTGGTTGTTTGTTTGCTTTTTATGTCTCTGACATTATTACACCCTGATCAACTGAGGCTCAAGCATTTTTAAAAATTAAAGTATCATCGTCTCACATAGATATTCACTGGCATCACAATTCTGTTGGTATTTGTATATAAAGACATTTTCATCACCAATTTGTATCTATGCGCAAGACAATGGGCAGCCTTTTTTAAAAGTGTGCTTAGAATTTATCATTTTATGACAAAATCCTGAGTCGACAGGTTAATACTCTAGAGGTTAGGTAATTCATGTAGGCATTGTGGGAATCATAGGCTGCAGAGGGGGGAGGGAAGTCAGTGTCATATTGCTTTGTAGCCTATTGTCATACAGTCGTCTTGGCCAAACCTTTCTTAAAATGAGGTAAAGAATCCCAAAAAAAGACGTTTATTTTTCAAAATAAAGGAAATAAGGAAGCACAGTGAGCCCATAATCCCTGGATACGCCCCTGTTTGAAGGGGGTTTGAGACATTTTGATCTAATGTGTTGTTCGGCGGTCAAAAACGATTTTATTTAAGCTATTAATTAATCGAAAAACTACATATCGGCTACATATTTAAGTTGTAACAGCGTAAAGCTCCTCATTATTTTATTTTTTCCTACACTGTATAACCGCCTGTACATCCACCCATCACTCCCGCGTGCGCCCACAGGTGTGGTGACGATGACAACGCGGAAGTATGTTGTCAACAGCGTAGCGAGCCGCTGGAGTCAACTGTCCTCAGTCAGACACCATGTCCAACAAAGAAGATACCCGATACTGTCACCGCTTCTCCTACCTTTTAATCAAATTCATCCTGTTCGCCTATGCCATCGGCTGGTGGGTGAGTAACGTCATGGCTACTGTTTGTTAAAAGGGGAGCGCGCGCTGTGTTTGCTCAGAAAGCCCCGGCTTGTGGGGACAGATAGACAGAAAGACAGACAGACAGACAGGGTGTGTGTGTTTATGTATGGTGTTGGCTTTGGCTGTGTGTGGCTTTTATTGAGAGGAAACGACCGATATGTGTTTTATCCCAGTTTTAAATGACAGCCTTCAGTGGTGTCATCTCCAGTTGTGAAGCGACAGGTGTTGTACCTGTGGAGTAATGTTATTCTGCTGGCTCTGACTTTGGTAACGTCTTGTATGCCTCTATGTGGCCGCACCCTCTCCTGTGAACCTTTACCCTGCTCTTACCTGGCTGATCTGTGCTGGGTAAACACAGCCAGGGTGCAAATAAAGACAAAAGGAAAAGAGGAACAGTACATTCAGGCTTTTTGTGTTTCTGGTAGACTCCACACACTGCTGGTGCACATTTTGTCATGTCCTGCTGTGGTCAGACATGAGTCATGTGTGGGCAACCGGATGACAGATCAGACAGCAACAAGGCTTTCAGTGCTCTAAATGACAGTGTTGGTCTAGTAATGGTAGTGTTCAGAAGTGCGGTAAAGTTGGAAAGATATTGGCAGATTCGAACTTCCGGGATCAGTAACTCTTTAGTGTGTTCAGATGCCAACCAGCATATTCTGCATGGTAGTCTTTTAAAAAAAGTGTAGCAAGTGAAATGGCTCTTTGCTTCTGGTTATTTACTTATTTGGTAGGGCTGTACTGTCATCTCAGACCATGACAGGAGTATACTACAGGCTTACAGTACACACCCACTTACTCCACAATAGTGTAAAGCATATCCTGCTAAGCACTTGATAACACTATGACAACATGTTTTTTTTATGGAACATAAATAACTGCCGTTGAACAGCACCCATCAACAGATTTGGAGCTCATCAGTGATAATGATCCAAGCATGATTCAGTGCGAGAGTACGCTAAAGATAAGAGTAAATAAAGCCTGAGTGACTAAGAGCCGGGCGTTATCTTTATTTGCATCTGATCTAAGTGAGCAACACCTTCATTTTTTAACATCTGATTGTTTTTGGCCTGGGTGACATGCTCTGCAGTTTTTGTATACAGCAAAACCATATTTCACAGACTGCTCATTAGGGCCGGGTATCAGTACTCGATACCTTTAAGGTATTATAAGTTAGCTACATCATTGCAGCAGCTATTCTTCCTGAGGTCCACAACTTTACATTTGTGACAGTGCACAAAACAACTCACATACAGTACAACATTTATCAAAATAACAGGACTGGACTAAAACACTGACACAGACAGACAAGACAGCTCCTAGTAATTCAGCAATTAAGATATATACTTTTTCATGATTTCATTTGATAAGTAACCACCAGTTTGGGGCTAAATTTTGCCCTGATGATGCTCCATTATTTTAATATTAGACCAAGTATTTACATCATACTATACATTCATATTTGCATGTTCCTATACACACATTACACACATGTGCATTAAAAGGAATATTTTTTACCATGCATGAAGTTCATAACAGTGTATGAATCACTTTTTTCTGTAATCTCATTTAGAAAACATGAAACTATGATTAGCATACTAACAGAAAACCATCTCTAACTAAATGTCCCTGCACCACAAACAAAGACAGACCCTTCACATCCTGAGACATATGGCACAATGAAACTTACCTTTGATATTAATAAATTAGGCTTTGGCAACCATACTTGTGTCTGTTTTATGGATTACCAAATTAAACCAGTGCCAAGTAGTATGGAAACATCTCCAGTCAAATGATACCTGAATTTGATCCTTTTTTGCATCGGGGGTCTGATCCCAGACTGTCTCGACCTCCCGCTGAATCAGCAAACTTTCTGCTGTTGCCGTCTCCAGAGCCGCTCTGCTACTGGTCAGTTTAACATCTGCCTGGTTAGGACCAGCTAACACAGCAGCAGCCACCAGTACCCAACACTGAGCTGATAAATGGAACAAACTCACACAGACACCGAAACAGCTTTACTCATTCATTAAACCTGTAAATAACCGTTGGGTAACGTTAGCCATGTGATACCAACACATTTTGCCCTGTTACTGTGTGTGTGTGCAGCCGGGTGGACTCTCACAACTGTCCCTAGCATGGAGCTCACACTCCCACAGCTGCAGCTGTTTGAGTTAGCAGTTCAGCGTGCCACCAAAACATTTTAATACATGGCAATACTGCATGCCGCTCCATTCACATTATGGGTATCACATAAAATAGGCTACTTTATTGGGTTTCGTTACTTAAGGGTATTAGTATCATAGTTTTTTAAACGAGACCAATACAAGATATTAATGACTGAAGGGATCTGCTGATGGACAAGAGGTGCCTCTGCAGGTCTGGATTATTCACAGACACCAGATGTCCAGGGGACTGTCAAAGGCCCCCAAAAAACGCAACCAGGTTATTTAGCTGCATCCTCCTCATGTGTAACAAGCTTTGCAAACATGCATCAAATCCAAAGTCCCTGGGAAAGCTATAACAGAAATACAAAGCACAATAATAATAAGAGTATTTTATTATTTAATTCATTAAAGCGGCTATAATCAATATTTTTTATAACAACAAATGTATCAAATCACAATGTGAAGACAAAGTGACTGTGTGAAAGGTGTTGTTTGTAATGATGAACCTACCAAATTATCACCTGCATCTGCAACTCTTCTGGGGCTTTACTGAGCTATGTGGAGAGTTTCAGCTCATTGTGTCCGACTCTCATAGTGTCCATTTCAGCTGCAGCAGGCATCAGGGAAAAAGCTCTAAAAACCCACCATACCCGACCTGCTCAGCACCAAACAGCAGACAGACACATTTAGAGAGTAGCTGGTGAACACAGTGGAGCACTTAGCAGCTTAAGAGCCAGATATTTCACTTTTAGGAGCTGATGGAGATTGAAAAGATGAAAGACATTGAATATTTAATTGACATTTAACAGCTGGACATAAATATAACTCCACATGAATGATAATGTTGCTCCATAACTGCCGGATGTGTAAATAAGCAACTGTTTGCCATATCTACAAAAAACTGTGGTTGTTAACTTTAACAAAACAATAACTTTTTCATATTTGCTAAACACTGTCACTGTATTCACACAGCACTAAATGAGACAAATAATCAGTGAAATAAATCGTACTCTTCTACCTACTCTATCGCTTTGTAGCATTTCTAATGGTGTTACCACATGAACGAAAACATCGAATCAGACCAGAGGAGTCTCTCAAGCAGCTCATGTCGATCACTGCTCGTGAACTGCAGTCAAACTGTCAAACTAGGCAGCGCTGATCAAATGTGAATCAAGATTCTGTTACCGTGTTGTCTATTTCTCACCTCAAATTTTTTCAGAAACATATTTTAGCACAGGGGTCTTCAGTGTTTTTCAGGCTAAGGACCTCTTAGCTCAAAGAGATACAGAGCAAGGCCCCTCCCACTAAATATATTGTACATAACTGGATTGCACTTCAGATGATTCTCTGATTATTATCAGGTCTTCTCTTGTTTGTGTTTGCCTGTAGCTGTTAAGTCAGCATCAGTTGTAGCATGGCTCAGTGCATCAGCCTCTCCCTCTGCACTTTTGTAGGTGGTTTCTGAGGTGGAAGGAATGTCAGAATATCTCGCTTGAAAAGGTACAAAATGATCCATTGTGGCTCACAGGAATGTCCGAACACTTGGAATATTAATACAGCTAATTGGCCAATATGTTTCGATAGTGCGTAAATGTTAGCTAACTAGTTCACATAATGTTATATGGATAAGAGCCGCACAATGATTTAGCGTTAGCTAGCTTCATTGCTATATTAATTTGTAAACATTAGCGTTGTGTACTGTAGGTTATATGGGTTTGTTTTATGAAAAGGTCGATTTATCTTTGCAAATAATATGTTGGGTTCATGTTAATGTGTATTTTTAGCTTTTGAAAATAGAAATCAAATTATCAAACAATAATTTAGAGGCCCCCTGCAGTATCCTTGAGGACTCCCCAGGCGTCACAGACCCCTGTTGAAGACCCAGATAGTGTACTGTTTAGCTGTAAAATGAGAGAGGTGGTCTGGCTGCTGGTTGCGATGCTCTGTACTAGGGTCAGTTAAATCCAATATGGCAGCCGAGTACTTCCTCATTTTACAGCTAAACAGTACATTGAAATATGTTTTGGAAACATATGGAGTGAAAAATAGGTAATACATTATCAGAATATTGATTCACATTTGATCAGCACTGTCTAGTTTGGCAGTTTGACTGCAGTTCACGATTTATGACTGACAGCTGCACCAGAGACTCATTGGCTCTGATTGGATGTTGCTTACCGTTCTGAGTCGATTCCAGGGAATGCCATAAGGAGCAGTAGGAGGAGGAGGAAGGACATTATATTTTTTTATTACAAACTATTAGTCTCATGTGCTTCTTTCAGAGCCTGCGTTATCAACAGGGGGTCTGACACCCCTAGGGAGTCCTTAGAGTTACTGCCGTGGGTTCTGCCAAATTATTGTTTGATCATTTTTTGAAAGTTTATTTTTTTCTTTTCAAAAATTAAAATGTCTGAAAATACACATTAATATTAATCCAGCATATTATGTGTTTTGCAACAATGTATCTGTGTGAAAGTGGAGTTTCCTGAAATGCAAATACAGATCAAGACTGCAGCCTGAGGCTGATATGGCCCGCTGCCTGCCAGTCTCCATCCGCCTGGTTTAATGTGCCATGCAACTTTATTGGGTTCCATGCTCCATCTCTTTCAGCTAAGGGGTCCTTGGCCTGAAAAACAGAGAAGACCCCTGTTTTAGAGTATAGTGACAGTTTCAACCAATATGACATAAAGATATTTTCATAAAAGTTACCACCTGTAGCTTTTAAAGTTATGTCAATGTTGTTTACAGCTTGTTTCTGTTGCCCCCAAGTGGCCAAAAAAAACCTTACTTTTTCCAGGAGAGCACTAACGTGTTG